GATTCACAATTTTAAGGTGAGGTTTATAGCTTAAATCAACAATTTGTTCCCAAAGTAGAGGAATTGAACCTCGAATCTGAAAAATAGAGAGAAAATATTGGTAAAGATAAACTAGTTGGACTGAGCTTAAAGATATTGAACTTATGAATTAAAAAAAAAAAAAAATTATTCATGTTTATCAAAAGGAAAACCCATTTTTTTAAATCCTAATTGGCATATCTAAATAAACCTATTCTAAGGCATCCATCATAGTATTGTCAATTGGAGGTTTATTACTTGAAGATAGTTCAACTACCGTTAAAGCAGAAGTTTCAAGTTGACCAATTATATTCGGCAAGAAGAAATACCTGCAGTAGTGAAGCTTTGAAACCTCCATGCTCCACTAGTTGCTCAGTTTCAATAAAATTGGCTGTGTCACCTTCAAGATTGGCTCCCCTTCTCCACATTCTCGTTCCTATATAATCAATAATCATCCACAAAATAATTAATATTTTTCAAACAGCCATAAATCTGTTTAAGTATTAGCAATCTCCTTAAAATTTACCTAGCCGACGAGTACAGCGCCTTGAAACTAACGTTAGTTGAGCAGGCGACTCTTTTAGCTTCAGCTGTACAGCCTGGAAGCTTACGGTTTTGTTAAGGTTTGGTTTATGGCTCCAATAAGAGAAAAAAATTCAACTTTCTATAGAACCTTTAATTTCCTCTAACGAAATATTTGCATAAATTTTTTGGAGAATGTTTCTAAAGGTCAAGATTATTTAAAACATGAAGTTAATCATTTACAAATCTATAGCTTTGGAAGAAAAAATCAAGTTAAAACTGGTCGTACGTGAGAATGAACTAAAAGAAGATATGAGAGAAACAACTTCTACAAAAACCCTCTAGACATATTTCTACCGAATGTTTTCTAGCAAGAGAGAAAGTTGAAAACAGTCTCCCAGACAGCCTCTAAAGTGCATATGAATTAGAAATTTAGGATATTTCCTTGCAGTAATGGAATGATGAACTCGTCAAGCTGCAAAGAAGAACAACATTTTGTCATCAATAAAAAGAATAATAAACAAATTAATGAGTCACGAGAACTTGTGAATAAGTCATACCTTAAACTCAATAAGGTCCACTAGAAGGTTTTTATTCCAAATGAATCGAGGGTCAGCCTGAAATATAGAGAAAACAGTAAGCATTCAATTCTATTATCAAATAAAAAATTCATCACAATCTAAATTAAATAGGGGATGATAAACAAAAGGGCAAATGCATCAAAGTCAAAGAAATGCAAAAAGACATTGATTTTGATGATAGCAGGAGGAAGAAACAATTGGAAATGACAGATATTATAGAAATCAAAGTTGCGTATGATTATATATGAAACTCATTGGTTGCCTAGCTAATTAAGAAAAATAAATAAACAATACAGGAATCATCAGAGGATGGATAGAAGCAACATTATTGAGGAAAGCCGTTCAAGGTAAGAAAAATGTAACTTCCATTGACTCGGTATGGAACAGTGTGAGCTAGCAGAGCTGCTCCTTTTGTGCGTGTGAAAGAGAGAGAGAGAGTTGGAAACTTGGAAATTCCAAAGAATTGTTATCAATAAAATATGCCTAATTTTTTTTTCAACAAACATCATTCACTATTCAGTGCTTTAAGTCTTCCAAAGCTCATTGCATATTGAAATGAAATTCTGTTGGGTTTGTAAGGTGATTGCAAACAAAGTCCCATATTGACTAGGGAAGAGAATGATCATGGGTATATAAGAGAGGACAATTATATCCATTGGTATGAGGTCTTTTGGGTGAAATCAAAAGCAAAGCCATGAGGGCTATGCCCAAAGCGGACAATATCATACCATTGTGGAGATACGTGTTTTACGAGGGGTACCGTTGTCCTTAACAAGTGGTATCAGAGCCATGGTCTAAACCTAACTGAGTCGGTGAATCGTCGGGTGCCAAACAAAGAAGTTGTGAGTCTCGGAAGGTGTGGTCATGGTGTAATCCGTGAGTGTGCTCTATCAAGGTGTGCCTGGAGCCTTGGATAAGAGCAAGCTCTCGTTTGGTTTTCGAGAGTAGATGGATGAGTGACTACTTGAGGAGAGGCTCGGTGGTACTTTGTTCGAGGGGAGGATTATTGGGTTTGTAAGGTGATTGCAAATAAAGTCCCACATTGGTTAGGAAAGGGAATGACCATGGACATAAGATAGGACAATTATCTCCATTGGTATGAGGCCTTTTAGGTGAAACCAAAAACAAAGCTGTGAGAGCTATGCTCAAAGAGGACAATATCATACCATTGTGGAGATACGTGGGGACGAGGGATACCGTTGTCCTTAACAAATTCACAGATTACTAAACAAGATATATGTTTTTCTTTCCAAATAGTAATCAAATTCCACATCCCAACTTACCTGCTTCCAAAGTGGTTTTGCCGTCCATCCTTCAGTGAACTTACACCTTCTCTGTAAGCTGATACAAGCAATTGGAGGCATCATACAACATAAGAAATAAATGACAAAGTCTGAAGCAGAACTAAGATCCGGAGCAACCACAAACCATGAATCCATAATGATAACATTAAGAGACAATATTTAAAAAGCTGCTGGAGGAGAGAAGCATTTACTTCAACGTTATATCTGTTTGATAGGAATAGTACAACCCCGGAGTCGTTTCCACTGTTTTCAACAAAGTCAGGAAATAAGCTTCATCTCTTTTCTGCTTAAAAGAAACGATAGTGAGGATTTAAATGTGATTTTGACTGCACAAGAAGAGATGTCAAATAATTATTATCGAAGGCTAAAAGAAGAAGCTTACTTCTTGAGAAGTTGAAAGCTTCAAAGCCTCGTCACAAGAGAGGAACTTCATAGACGTTACTTGAAAAACAGGGAAACCAAGGAAGTTTCCTACTTCTTTCCTCGAAGTTATCACAAGCATGTATACTCCTACACAACGACGTGAAGAATCGAAAGCAGGAAGCAAAGAAAATATCATATGTTCTTACTTCTCAAGAATGTCAGGCTGCTCATCAAGTGAGCTGGTAGCTACTTCATACTCGCTTTTTGTTCATAAAAAATTAAATGAACAAGATTTGTGAAGCTAAGCGCATTGAATTATATTAGTAAAATGCAGAACATGGCTGCAGATACAATATTAAATCATGATCATGCAGATAGCATCATATGCTTCCTTTTCCAACCCGAACAGATTATAACAATAAAATCATACAGACAAGAACATGAATCCAACATTCATCACAAGCAATTACCTGCAACTAATCTTATTGTCCCAGCCACCCCATAAATTGTGGAGATCTTTGTTGCATTGCCAGAACAAGTATCACCTGTAACAATGAGACATTCAAACTATTCTTAGTATGACCCAAACGGGCATAAAATTGGTAGTTTCTTGAGAAGTTTTATAAATTAACATCAGCTAAAAATTTATATGATTAAGATACTATAGGCAGGAATATTTCTCACGCCTTACAAAGAAGAGCTAGATGGTTAGGTTTGCACTTATAGCAACTGAGTTCTTGTGGATAATGAAGTTAGTTTACAAACGTTATGTCACTCTATGACCTGCTTCAGATTTAGATAGAGTAGCTTCCGCCAGATAATTATCATTATTGTCATTTATGAATATTAAGAACAACAAATGTAGAAGAAAGAAGTGAATGAGTTCAATTATTTCGCATCGGATCCTTCAAGATTTCTCGGACTGATGCGAAAAGGAAGTTGTTTATGGAAATATCTGATGAATTTGGGACATTCAAGTGCCAATACTGTTCGAATATCAAAAGATAGCAACAAAACAGCTGTGAAATGCTTACTGGAAACACGTTTAAGAGTAATTCAGGCAGGAAACCCGAATAAATCAAAGAGTTCAACATATAAATATGATGGAATTCATTTTTGTCGCAACGAATAACTGAAAGAAGAGAGGACCTGAAATTCGGTATCTCATAAAACTTGATTTCGGCATCGGACACAAAATTCGGAAGCCAATTCATTGTTAGAATGCCAATCATTAACTATACAAATCCTTCAGAATCTTCATTTTCCTAATACTTTATTTCCTCATCTACCAAACTACTTCGGGAACCTGAATTCATCGAGGGAAAAGAAAAAAGAAAATTCTTACAATTAAGCGGTTCGATATTTCCATCTCCGCGATTGATCGAGAAACCTCGACTGGCCAATTCCACAGACCTTACAACGAACCTATCCTGAAATTCGTGCAGTTCCAGCTGATCGTAGAGCTTGAATCTCTCGCAAGAAGATGATCCGCCGTCCATGTTCTTTATCGAAAGAAGCAGAAGAAAAATCTATACAGAAAAACCATGGGGAGATTGATTTTGACCCATCTGGTATACAGAAAATGGATTAACCATTTAAGAAAGCTCGAGTCATGTCAGCGCAGTTTTACGGTCATATCATCATTCTAAATTTTAATCATATCTCTTTACCAAATAAATTCAACGACCATAAACTTATTGATTCAATGTATAATTTTGTTTAACGATCATCATTTTTCATTTCGTTGAATAGTTCAACGACCATCAGTTGACTCAAAAAAATTGTCAAAAGAAATTTTATTATTTACATAATTTATTATTGTTTCATAAGATTTGGGAATCCACTAAGCCGCAGATCCATAGGTAAAAATTTGGCTACCGTGTAGAGTTTTCTTTTTTGTTTATATACAGTTTAATGCAACACTGCTGAAAAATCCATGAAACAACATAAATTTCTTTATCATTAATAATAATACCCAGTCAAACCGAACATAACTTAAGTGGTTAAGACGCCTATCTTTTACTACAATGTGTGGGGGAGGAGATTCAAACTCACAATGTTTTGATTGAAGATATATATCAATTACAACTGAACTATGCTCGCTTTGACGGGTTCACATTTTGATGATTTTAGCTTCAACCATTTACTAAATTGGAGTTAAAATACATAATTTAATACCCCAAAACTTGAGCTCCCACTTGGAGAGGAAATATAAATAAAAGAAATAGAATAAGAAAAAAGAGCTCTTATCTTATAGTTGTTCAACTTGATGAAAACTTTAAACTACACTTCTATGGAGCAACTGGGAAAGCATGAAAACAAGCAGAATCTCATCTCCTTTCAACTCTCACTTAAACAAAATATTAGTTTCTGAAAGTTAAAAGTTTGATAGTCAATTCTTGAACAGCCCAGCAAGTTGACCTTGTTCATGCATAGAACTAAGAATGTCACAACCTCCAATTAATTGGCCACCCACAAAGATTTGAGGAAATGTAGGCCAGTTGCTGTATATTTTGAGAGATTCCCTCAGCCCGTTGTTGTATTCTTCATCGAGTACATCGACGCTCTCATAATCTACGCCTTCAGCTTCAAGAATGCCGATTACCCTTTGCGAGAAACCGCATAATGGTGCACTTCTCGAACCCTTGATGAATGCGACAACCTTGTTCTCCTTTACCAATTTGTCGATGAGTTCTTCCAACGGGACGGTAAGTTCAACGTGTCGACCGGGTGTCAACCTCAGATCCGGCTTCTTCTTCGGTGGCTGCCTTGTCCATGTGGCATTACCAGATTCATTACCTGGTGGTACCTTACCGGTGGCTTTTATGTGTTCTTCCATCCATGACTTCCATGCTTGTGCTAAGGTTGTTCTATCAGGTTCATCTACTACTCCAAACTGCACAGAGTTGCACAATCAAGAAATAGAAAGGTTAACTAAGATCATTGAGTTCCGTAGCTGCATAGAAAACTTGAATTCTATCACAACTCCCATCAAGACAGAAGGAAAAAAAACACAGTATGCCTCATTTCTAATGTGCTTGCCAAAACAATACCTACCTAGCATACGAAGTTAAATCACTGGAGAATGGCAAGCATTAGAATGTGGAGAATAAGGTCGATAAGTATTGAGTATCATTCCTATACACATTAACCAATTGCCCAAAAATATGATCAAGTCAACATGTAACTGCCACTCAAATGGTTTTTCATATTTTTTTCATTTTATAACTAGGAATTGAAACACTCCTCCCCCATACCTAGAGGCACCCGTGCCCACCCCAAGGCACAGACCTGCAAGACATCAAGGGTTTTTGATATTAAACTCACTAGAATATTCGAACTTGAGACCTCTATGTCAGTATGACTAAGAGACCCCAAGCCCAAGCCCTTACCAACTGGGGCAAAGGCAACTGCCACTCAAATGGTTGTAATTCAAAGAGCTGATGAAATCCCCTTCAAGAAAATTTGATGAAGTGTAGTTGACAGGACGCTGGGCAGTACTTACTTTCAGCTACCACACCATAAAGCATTGAAATACATGCCCAAGCAAAGAACTACAAGATTTTTAAACTGCAGCAAGTGAAAATCAAATTTTCTTGTGTTAAGCAGCAATCATCGATCTCCCGTCCCTAAATTACAATTTATATGGATTCCCCTCAATCCAGCTATCTTTTACACCATTTCAACCAATGAACTGATGAGTGAAGCTTGAGTTGGTCAGTAATGCAGCAATTACCAGCAGCAGAGCCCGAGTAAGACTACTTGATTAGGATGCAGATGTATCATTACAAGCCAGATGAAAATTAAGAAGCCTAGACTAGACTAAATTTCCAAGGCTTGATTGGAAAAAAAAATTGAGACATCACTCCCTTAGAGACTATAACGAAAGATATACACAAAACTTTTTCTTACACCAAAAGAAACCTTTTCCGGATTACTAATTTTCAATTCATCATACATGCCACTGAACGTCAATAAACCTTCCCACCAGACAATTAGGGCTGAAAATGGCAAAAAGAAAGAGGCAAACACAATGAACAATTCAGACAACCACAAGACCTCTCCTACCTTGACGGCGACGCAAAGCTCCGGTACCGATTTCCTGTGACTGACGACGCTTCCCGCTATGTTCCGCGTAATGCCAATGAACTGAACGTCGCCGTCCTTGTCGTAAACGGCATAAACACCAGCATCGGGAGGAAATTCTCCGGCAATTTCGCCGGCGGTCTCCGGCACGGAGATGCGGTCAGTCTCCGAGAGGTTCTTGGCAGCAAAAGCGATCAATATAGAAGCGCGAGATTTGGCTGTACTGCAGAGCTTGGGGGAACTGGAGAGGAGAGGAGGAGGAGTAGGCTGAGAGAGCGTCGATAATTTGGAAGTATTTTGAGAATATTTTGCTGAAAAATCTGAAGAGACGGAGGGGTGTGGATTAGAGGAAGGTTGATGGCAGCCATTGGAAGAATCAAAGGTGAAGCTGCCACGCCGGGCTTCAGAGAAAACTGTTTTTAATCCAACGGTGACGCTGTCGGTGAAATTGTGCGTTGTACGAAATTTTAGCACGTGTGGGCCCAGTCCTAGGCCCAACTTCAAGTCATGCCTTGGACGGCCCAACATAGGGAATGACTGGTAGCCAGTGGCCCTTGGCCCAACTTCAACGGTGACGCTGTGAGGAGGGTTTTTTTTTCCTCGTTTTTTTTGACAAACAAAATATTGATTTTAAAATTATGATACATGTCTTATCTAATAAATTATGTTTGGATTTACCTAACTCCTCGAGTTATGCTCGAGGTGAACTAAGATATAAGATTTCAATCTATAATTCGTAGAGGAGAGATGTTGATATCTAGTGACTTAAGCTATGGCTTTTTTTCTTTTTAATACAGTACTTTGAATGAGTGACCTGAATAACTTGAACCAACTCAACCCAAATATTTCGTAGTTAGATTGGATTGAGTTTATTATTTAATAAGAATTATTTGGATCGAATAAGTTTATAATCAAGCGATCGGGTTGAGTCTAAAAAGTGCCCCAACCTAACCTATAAAGATGAATACTCTATGTTTGCTTATAGGTATTTTTTGAACAAAGATAAAAGGTAGTGTTGAAGTTAAGAGTGTTCCATGTACTTAAAAAAAGTGTTCAAATAAGCTGAAGGCTTGAAAAAAATCGGTCAACCCAACCCACATGGTTTTTCGGCTTGGACCCAACCGGTGTAACTAAACAGAAAAGCCCAGCCCATTTAAATTAGGGTTTTTAATTTTTTTTTAATTTTGTTTATTACAAACTTAACCTTTTATTTTTCTGATTTCTCACGACTCACATTTCTCAGCACTCAGCGTCTCCCGCCATCTTCGTCTTCTCAGCAAACACAGAACAGCAAGCACAGCACAGCACGTTCTTTTCTTCGCATTTTCGTCTCTTCCTCTTTCTTCAAAGCGAGCACTCGGTGCTTCTATTTCGGTAAGTTCTCTCTCTAATATTTCAATAATTCTTTTTTTCTCACAAAAATCTAAATTTCTGTTTCTTATGCAGAGTAGGCCGACTTCACACTCTAAATTCTTCAAGATTCGGAATCTGAAATTGGTAACTTTTTTTCCTTTTCATTTGAATTACTTGGTATTTTATTTTGAACTTGCATATGTCGTCTCTATTTGCAATTCTGCATTTGCACCATTGTTTTATTGACCCCTTTCCCCTAGCAATATCTTTGTGAGATTCTATTTTTTTATTTAATGAGAAAGATAAACAACAACAACAAAAAAAACTTTACATTATGTCACTGTTCTTAGATTGTGATTTATGAATATTATTAATGTTTTAATGTTTAGATGGCTGAATCTTTGATTTCATGTCTTCTTTTATATTTCAATGGATATTAAGTAGGTGCTTGATGTGAGTATATGTTTTTTCCCCTGTCATGGCAAGATAAAAATATGGTTATTTCCATGGATATTAAACGGTAATTGATATATATCTCCAACTTTAGTTGGAAGTTTGATCTCTCAAACTGCATGTTTACGATAGAACCGAACTAAAAGAGATAGGGTTGAACTTAAAATAGCTCCAAACCCAATCAACTCCTGATAGTTGAATATTCTTTTAAAGAATAATGGTGTTTTTGAAATATTGGAAAAATGTTGAGTTTTTATTTATTTATTATTTTACCTAAAATAAGACTACGAGATATCTTGCTCCCGCGTAGGAAGAATCATCGAAGAACTAGGGTATCGAACCATCATCCGCGCGACAACATTGTTTAGGTAGCAGTTTCCGGAATTTATCCGTTTCGATCGACTTTATTTGATTGCAAATCCCTTTTTATGCATTATATTTCATCGATCGAAGAATTTTGCGTAACCTGTTCTGCTTGCTTTTATCTGCTTTACGTTCTACGAATTTTTATAGTCTATGCCAATTTTGTTGGTTCTAAAAGAAAGCTAAAATCAGTTTCTGTAATCTTCTTCTATCATAACAGGCATACACATCAAGCAAGCTTCTGAATTGCTGTTGATTTATTTTAATCCGTGGAAAAGAGCATGGCGGGTGGAAATTTCATAAACAGAGTAGTTTCTTATCTCGTGAATGAACTGCTCGTCGATAGTCTTGCGAACAGGTAACTAGTTTTCAGGCTTAATTGCATTACAGGATGTTTCTCCTCATGCTTGTATTTGAATTAGATGTGATGATATTTGATAAGAAGCTTCATTCTCTGGCCAGAGGGACCAATTAGTTCCTATTTGGCTCGTTCCATTGAAGCAAAACATACTCAAATTTTCTTATGTGTTCATCTGCTGCCGAAATGGTTGGCCGTGCAGATGTAGAGATTTGAGAAATTTTTGCTACAATTTTTTGTTTCTGTTTTTTCCCCGTTTTCTATAGAATTTATGTATTATATATGTTTGTTAAAGAACTGCTAGAAGGGGCAACTTCAGCGGTTAGGCTTAGAGAAAATTTAATCTTATAAACATAAGAAGTTGGTTTATCTGCTGCTAAAATGGCTGTGCGTGCACATTAGGAGATTTCAGAAAATTTCGCTGCAGATCCGTTTTCTATTTCTCATATTTAATTTCTGATCTATGTTTGTTAAATCACTGCTAGAATGGAAAGCTAAGCAGTTGGGTTGGTGTAATTTTTTAATCCTTTCATATTTTTTCATGTGCGTGGTCAGTTCAGTTATTAGTAATATAGAATGGAATAAAGAAAACATAACTAAGATTTGAACTCAGACTCTTTTTTCTTTGGTATCATATTAGATCAATATCGAGCTGAATTTAAGCCATTGGGTAGTGGTATTGTTTTTTTCATAGAAGGTTATTTTATTGGAAGCATACATTATGCTAAAGTAGCAGGGGAGGAAAGCTTCATTGAAGATAAGGAAGTACCTTAGGAATTAGTAATTCCTATGTGTTTCCCGACACCAAATGTTGTAGGGTCATGCGGTTGCTCCGTGAGATTAGTCGAGCTACGCGTAAGTTGGCCCGGACGCTCATGAATATCGTAAAAAAAAAAAGAAAAAGAAAAGAAGTTCAAAGGTAGAAAACTTTTTAGAAAGCTTATACCTAGATAGAGCCACTAACACAATGTGATCCCACAAAACAGAAAAGCTCTCTCTTGAATAAGAAAAATTATATGTTAATTCTAACCAATTAGTCAATAGAAAAGCTATAATATAATTTAAGTATTTAACCACTGTAGGGATGACCACAGTAGCAAATGTTGTAAAGACTATGCCATTTAATCTTGTTAATTCATTGTCCTTAAATTACTCTTATGTCATGTGTATATTATGAATAGAAGGGCTGTGATCTGGGTCGCACTACCTTAGATTGCCAGTACCTTGGATTTTAACTTCTGTAACTGAATTTTTTTCTTTTTTTTTTATATATTATGTTTACACAATTCCTTTTATTCACTGTCCCCTTTATTTATATTCATGTCGTTCTTTGTTCTGTTCAAAATTGTATCAAGCGGCTTCAACCAACTGTTGTTATTTTGGCCTCTGGAATACTGAATAGTGTCTCTGTTCTCACCACGATGGTCTCTCTTACTCACCTGTTTGAACTGTAGCTAAGTTGACTTCGTAGGCTCGTAATGATTGTGGAGTAGATCATATCAATTATGTTTTTAAGAGTTGAGCCTTTGAGGCATTCTTTCCCTTGCATTTCTGCCATTGAATCGAACACGTTCAAGCTTAGTGAAAACTGAAAAGTCACATTTGTTTACATAACTATACTCGCAACGTTGTTTAGTGGTTACTAAACCGTTCATTGTTGAGCAATTCTTCATTATCTCATTTTCCTTTTCCAGCCGTTCGTTTCAAAGGTTTGCGGTGAGGACATCAAAACAAATCGAGGATATATCTAACAAGGGTAGAAACGTTACTGTTTTCGCTTCATTCGTGTCGATTTAACTCCTCCTGTTGGTTGTTGAGCTGATTTAACTTATGCAACGAGAATTTGGAATTGTCTTGCAGCTGCACAGAAGAAGCAAGAACTTGCGGAACAGGTGAAAGATCTGTCTAAAAATTTCGAGGTGAGCTGCTTCTTACATTTTTATTTTTTAACCTTTGAACAGCTAGGGATTTCCTAATGCTTGTTTGATTTTCTTGCAGTCTTTCAAGAACCAGTAATGCAGAAAGGAATGTGTTAACTGTTACTGCAACATGATGTAAATCCTGTTCCAAAATTCAAAATCCGTTTGCTCTTGTAGATGAAGTTGAAGATTACCCGGAGAAATGTTTACAGCCATCTCTTTCCATGTATTATTGAATAATATTATTTATAACAGAACTTTAGATATGTACTTGGAGCCTGATCAGTGATCACCGGTGCCTGAACGACCAACTTCGTTCTTGCAAAACTTAGTGATGCCGTGACGTATGCTTCTGTAACCTGCTTCTTTGCTCTATTAACACAATTGGATTGGATCAGACTTTTAAGCATGTCATGAAACTAAGCGTAGCAATTCAATATGTTCTGCTTTCAATCGTGAAACGAAACACGTTTTCTCTGCCATTTTGATCTGAGCTTATCAAATTTCGTAGCAGATCAAAATCGGAATTTACTTAGGCCCACGTTGAAGAGATTCGTTTTAAACGGGATTGATCGTGGGGTTGCATTATGGGAACATTCATTTCTTGTTCTTAGGGAAATAGTAGATTTCTAAAGGCATTCAGAAAAAAAAAAGAAGAAAAAAAAGATCATTCATAGGAACCATATTGGATGACCAATGCTTAAGATCGCTTCTCACCTCTTCAAATCGATGCATAGCAAAATATGAACACAGTTGGTACCAAAACCCTGGGTTGTTTCAGTTCATCGTCCAACATTTTAATTGTTTAATTCGAGATCGATGTTAGAGAGAAGAGGGGCGAAAGGAAAAATATTTGCACCATTCATATAGGTATTACTGTAGAGTTGAGAGTTACTACCAACGCTTTACAAGAATACTAGTGTGTGCATCCAAAGATTTTTTTTTTCTGAGAAATATCCAAAGGTTAATTAATGCACACTGTACATGATGTGGTCAAAATATTAAAAAAAAAAAAAACAATAAAAACTCTTGTTTCAAAATAATAATAATAATAAGAACGAACACTTTAACATTAATCTAAAGCCAGAATGAAAACTATTAAAAATATACTTTCTTTTTCTTGAGAATTATTCAAAATATAAAAAATGACGTATATCAAGAAGTATTGAACTATAGGTTTCTTCCAGTTAGTAAATAATGAGCTTTCCGTCCAATAATCGCTAGCAGAATTATGGGCTTTGGTCCAGCCAATCGAAAAAGTGATGGCCCTCACACTTGCAATTTACCCTCCAAATCTCCTGCACCACTACCCTTTTTTTTATCATTTTAGTATGGTAATGTAAAATGAACCAACTTATCCTCAAATTTATTTGGCAAAATTTTATTTAATTTTAACTAATAAACATCTAAAGCTTTAAACAACTGCCAGTTCCAATCCTACCGTTTGAAATAATCGTTACAATACAGTCGAATAAAAATTATAATCCAAACAAAATGCTACCTAGAAATATTGCCATCAAATATATATCAATATTTTTCTATATTTATCTAAAAAATATAGTTCTATAAATAAAAAAAATCAACATCTCCAATATACCATGTAGATGAAAAGTATCATTTCCAAACATATGAAAAAAAAAATCATTCAAAAGATCAATTTGAAGAAGTATGTGTACGACCATACATAAAAGAGAGAGGGATTCATTAATAAATACCCAATAAGGAACGTTCACCACTTTACTCTGGCATCATCCTCATCGTATACAAATGAGATACAGAGCCAGATTCGAAGAAAAAACAAAACCCACCACAATTTCTCTGTTTTTCTTTGTTTTTGTGTTTCTGTTTTTTGGGAGTGTGGAAGTTCATTCTTGGGATGCAGCGCCATTGGCTGTGGCATCCATAGGCTCGCCATCAGTGGGCTCTTCTATTTTATCGCTCTTCTTACCTGCAACAGCAATGGGTTGAAATTCTATGAGAAACAACATATCACCTACTCTGGCTAAATGTTTGCTAACAAATGCGACTTCACATCCAACCTTGAAAACCTGACCAAACCGACATTGCGCAAAACTGATATGCCAGTTAATCGGAGTGGTCGAAAGAGCATTCTCTGAAGTCTGACCAACTGACTACTTTTAAAAACACTATCGTTCTAGTGCACCCTAATAGGACGTCGTTGCAAAATAATGGTTGACCAAAATTGACCTTACCAAACCCAATTGGTTGGTTTTGGAAACTGATTTTTCTCGTTTTCAAATGTAACCCAAAACCAACGCCATTTGCCACGGATGTGCACCCCTGATATCAAGATTTTAAAAAATGTGCATCCTTTAAAAGCTAACCTTTCTTCTTCTTCCCACCGCCCTTTTTCTTTGTCTTCGTGCCCAATGCTAACCACGCCTTGATTTCAGGATCATCTAATGTTTTTGTGGGCTGCAGCTCTTGCAGAGGATGAGATGTGACTCGATCCGATCCGTTGGGCATCAGCAACACGGTGAATTTGATATGAGCAACATAATCGCCTGATAAACACAGAAATCAGTCATGCAGCAAAAGCAGACTCGAAAAGCTTAGACCAAAATGAAGCTCAGACATTATTAGTCTCACCAGGCTTCTCATGAAGAACAGGATATGGCTGCAAAAGATCATGGTTAACACATTCCACCAATCCAAGCCGAGCCCTTTTCTCTTCCAAAGCCCTGCTAGTATAAATTTATAAACATAACAGTAGAAGCCAAATACGGAAAACATCAATAGTAACAATATGAGAAGCGTAACGAACCTTGCCGTGAATGGCATTATGGGAAACTTCTGAGTTATTTCACTGAAAATAAATCTAGAAGATTTCATTTTTAAATGATAGTTCCTGTCCACAGCTCTCTTATAAATAGTTGTCTGCTTCTCATCCAACAACCTAGGCTTTCCTTCTCCCGTGCTTGTAACTATATCTATCGAGTACACCTCATTCTCCTCGAACTCCGCTTCATCAACTCTTGTCTCAGGATTGGCAACACTCAGTACAACCTTGTTCCCATCAATCACAAACTGCTTCATCTGATGGCTAAGAACACCTTCAACGATTTTGCAGTCGTAAGAAGCAGCAACCTTTTGAATTGCATCTGTAACATCCTTGTTCTGGAAAATAGGGCCTCAACAAATAAGTGACAGAAATGGGAAAGAAAAATAACAGGGAATTAAAACGACCGCCATTTACCCTAATTTTTCATAAGATTATACACATGGTTATATCAAGTTGGCACATTTTGAAATAAAACGAGTAAAGCAGCATTATAAACATGCATACATTTGTATACAAAGGTTCTTAAACCTCGTAATAAAATTATGGTACTCTATCAGTGTAACTATGACATGAAAAGGCTTCATCGGATGCAATCCATAGCCATCGTAGTTATCATCATGTAGAGACCATGTTTCGCTGCAAAGGCAGTGTAGACGAAGTTCTAACAACAGATGGAAAAAAAACTCTACTTTTCCCAGGTTCCAAAACATTGTAACAAAATAACCATAAGCCCATGATGCTCTATCAGTGTAACTATGACATGAAAAGGCATCACCGGATACAATCCATAGCCATTATAGTTATCATCAAGTAGAGATCATGTTGCCACACAAACACAATGTAGGAAAAAGTGTTCTAATAACAGATGAAATTTTTACATCAAGAGAACAGGAACAATAAAGCAAATTATTTGGGCCAACGTTGAACGTTAGGTTTGACTACAAATAACGCGCACCTAAAGTTATTCCAAGTATGGCCACAGTCCATGTAGGAAACAGGGAAAAGAGGAAATCAAAAGAATCAGCAAACGATCACCTCGGCAAAGTTGCCATTTCAAGCAGAAAAACAAATCATTCATATAACAGAAAATCATATCTATTCCAAATATTAAAACAAAGATCATGTCTATAGAAGACCCAAATGTTGATAAAATGTCGAAACGAATAAACAAATTTATTTACAACAGCTTAACAGGTTACCTTTTTTCCAGGCCTCACAAGCCTCAAGGCAACTTCGGCTGCAGTGTTTGCAGCTGCAATTACATCAGCAGCTCTTCCTGTAACGGGACCTTCTTGCAGCACATGAGTATGAGCAACTACAGCAATAAAGCCGTCAATATGACAACCCAAATCACTGCATTAACACAAAATTCCAATATGGTTTATTCTTCCATCATCAATGGGACAACAACCAAACTATCAAAAGGCGGCGAATTAGCTTACATTTTAAGAATATCGCCCTCTTCAAACAGGGTCTCGTCGCTAGAAAGCGGTGAGAAGTGACAAACAGTGTTGTTCACAGAAATGCAAGTTGGAAAAGCAACGCCTCTTTCAATCTTCTTCTTAACATTTTTGTACATGTTGCCAGTTTGTCTATATGCCAAAGACAGATACATAGAGGGAAGACCCTATTAATTAGAATCAGAATCAAATACGAATAGCAATGAAAGCAAAGAACTACTAATGGCTAATGCCATTGAAAAGTTAATAAATTCTTTGACTTAAGAAAACAAAACTCTTACTCTCTGATGAACGAATCGCCCTTCTCGCAAACATCAACAATCTTAGCTTTTGGTTTGCATTCCGATATTACCAACTGCAATGCCTCTGCAAAATTATCATTTGATCACTTAGAAACTCGTTTCCACGTAACATACACCAATTTTTAATAGAAACATCTACTGAATCAGAGCTCGATTACCCAAATCACAGACATTAAAAGGGAAAAAAAATAAGTGAGAGAGAGAATTACTGTTGGCAATTTCAGCGGCACTCTTGTATTTGGTGACTACTTCAGGAGAAGTAAGATCGAGCTCCTTCTCCTCCCTCTCCTCGTCCGACATCTTCCAAGAACCCTCGAAAGAAAATCTGCCGGCGAAGACTGAAAACGGCGGAGAGAAGAAGTGAAGCTAATTCGGATAAAGGTTTGAAGCTGGAAAGAGAAGACAAGGAAGGAATGAGAGTGGCTCAGACCCAGCACGAGAAGGATTTAGGGTTACAATCGGAGAGGCCGCGTTTGGTTTACTTATATAAGATTTCGTTTCCAATTATGGTCTAGGGTTTTGGTTGTGATGTGTTTTTTTCTTCGCGATGGTGCCATGGGCCCACCGCTTATGGAGATTTTAAGGTAAATGTAAAACATATTTTGTATTTGCGTCTATTTTTCCATTTATTCTGCTTTCACTTTTTTTTTTCTCTTTCAATCACATGTTTCCCAAAATAATATTTAAAGCTGATTAATTTTTTAATTACATTTAAATACTGAATAGAAGTCATGAAATATGTCTAAGTAGTGGCCGGCCTAAATACATGTTGGGTGAATCTTTCCCAATATAATATGTAATATTTTAATATATATGTATGGAAAATTCACAAAGAAAATACTCGTCCTTAATTTCAATTTTATATTAACCTCCTTTCATTGTTATTCTTTTCTAATTAAAACCTTTCAAATTTTCTTTAAAAACTTTACTATAAATACGCTAGATATGTTATACTAATTTTATCCAACACCCTCTCTCCCTTGTCTAAAAAATAAAAATAAAAAATTAATTTCCTTTTTCCATCTCTAAATTTCATATCTTTTAATACTGTCTATATTAGTCTTGAAAAGTATAAACTTAGACTATTAAAATTTAATACATAATTTTATATTTTACAAAAAATTATATATATACATTTATATTTTTTCTTTTATTAAAATTTTGTGAAATGAACTAAATCATCTTAGTCGCCTCGTAAATTTTTATTTAAATTTACTACCAATGGTTGCCAATATAATAGCATAAACCAAAATTTGACCTTTACCGAATTTTAGTGAATTGTGCAAATTTTCTAACATTTTTTTTTCTACACGTCCAATCCAATTTTCTTTACTTAACAAAATTATAATTCAAATCTCATCTATACTTTGACCATCCAGCTGGCTGGAAAATTCTTTTCTCATAAAAAATCAAAGGGATTGGATTTGCACCCATACAAACCATAAATCTGATACTGTCATCTAACAACATATATAAGAAGGATGAAATGATTTAAATGGCGATGATTATATACACAAGCAACACCTTTCAACAAATCAAATTACAGTTCCCTTTTCTCAAAATTCAATTCCTTTCAATGACAATGTTTACTCCAGCCTCCAGGCAGACCCAGAAGGAATTATATCATCATCAAGAAAGAAGCCATTATACTCCTAAAGAAGTCCAATAATTGTAACCAAAGAATTAGTACTACCACAAAGTAAACAGCACTAAAATTTCTAAGAAACTACCAGTCTATGATATTTTTCCAACATTTGAAGACAAGAGTCGCCAAACTCATGGTTATTTAGATGATTGCTGAAACTGTATCTGCAGTGGACTTTATAGTAAAGCAACCCAAAAAATGTGCTTAGTATTCATATGGGAACATCATGAAGTTGTCTCCTCTCATACAAGCCAATAATTTGATCAGCCACTGCCCACACAATGGCTTGCCCTGGTGGAATCCTCATGAGTCGGGGCAGCAGCCCTTTCCATAAAGCTAAAAGTCCCTCCTCTGCGTATATCGTTCTGATAGCATGGAACATGCCTTTGTACTTGAGTTCACCCCTTCCTCGACTCTGGGCCATAAGCCTAGTTTTCACAACATCGAAAGGACCCGTGCATATAGGCCCTGCCGTGCCTGCTAGGAATCCCGATACCATAGACTGCCATGGTTGGAGGACTTTCCCATCTCCTTCGTGTCTGTTCCAAAGAACAACATCAAAAGCATTCTTGGCAGTAAACATGGCAGCCTGATTTGTTCCATTGCGCATGACCGTAGGGGCAGCCCCAGCCCAAAGCCCTAGGAGGCCTTCTTCTCGAATGATCATTCGAGCACAGTGCACTGGACCCTTATACTTGAGAAGCTCAGGACTTAATCCTTTCTGCTGCTGCAATCTAATCTTCACCACCTGCACCAACAATTTTTGCACAATAAGTTAGTCACCCTGGACTGCTTCCTATTGGACAGACATAAATAGGAGTGCAAGTCGAAACTATAGAAACTGACAAAACAAATTGACTCAAACCAAGCTGCTTACACCCTAGGCTAGGACGTAATGCTAAGATGGAACAGAAAAAAAATGTGCATTGACCAGCAAAACCAAAAGGCAAGTGAATTTTGAGGTCGAAGGCAGAAAAATTTATCCATAGTAAGCAGCACAAGCTAGAATGTATCCACAAGAGCAAGAAAATAAATATTTCATCCTCTAAGCCAAGCTTTTATTTCTCATTCAAACCTTCGAACTATAATCTAACTCTGCGGACACTTTATATTAGCCACATCATCATGTTGAACTTGAGACCTTTTGTAAATTGACCTTAGATATAATTGATTAACTCTCCATTGTGCAAACTTTTAAGTTCTAATTTGATATGAAACTTACAACAAAGGGATGCATCAACTTATGCAATAGCAATGGCAGAATATGCATATTGACATACGAGGAGGATAATAATTAGAGAGGAAGAGAGAGACTGGCAGTACTAAGAAACTAGGCACAGTGCATTAAACCAAAAAAATTAATCTGACAGCAGATAATGGAAAACTTGGAGTTTCGTAGTTAACCAATTGACAAAGTGGCAAATAAGCTAAATTGATTGTGTCCACCAGCCACCGTAGCCCAATCAACAACCACATCGGTAGTGGCACTAAGCTTCAGATGAAACAGGGAAGAAATGCAAACCTAACCAATTTAAGATCTCATCCGTATGTACTGTACATATATTCATTGTTTTTCATTCACAAAAATTGGCAAGGTGAAAAGCAAAGTAACATTTAGGATCTTAAAAGGAGTACTAATTTGTCCTTGTAAATACAAAAACCAGCAGAAGGCTGGATGTAAAAAGTAACATCTAATGGTTTCATAATTAGCATTCTTTCTCACATTACAGGGTACAAGGACCAAACCCACGAGTGGGTTTCTCTTCTACCTTAATTTAACTGCTAAACGGAACCCAGAGGTAAAAAGTCAGAATCAAGGCAAACTGTGTTGAGAGTGGTAAAGGAAAGGAGCTAGAATTTTTAAATAAGATGCTTACATCCTATTTCTTTTTTATTTAGTTACCATACTCAAAATGTAATGATTAAATCCTTATACTTTAAATTTCATAAAAGATCTCACAAAAGAACAACTTGTAAATGAAATTTGATATAGCAAATGAAGCAGAGCGTCTGAAACCAAACTTGGCCCAACTATATACATATTTATACGATATGACTATCACATTAATTTTAATGTCGTAAACATTTTTTCTTGTTTTTCATCAGAAATCATTTAATGTCGTAAACTCGAGCATCACAATTATATATATAAAGACTAAAATATTGAAGAGAAGAGAAGCCAACGATGTATTCTGACCCTATGAAAAAAATTGTTTCATATGGGTCCTGGCCTTTAACAATTTATTTATTGTGTATAAAAAGGGAAAAGACATTGTTAACCACCAGTGCCAACCAACAAACAAGTAAAATATTCTACCTATCCCATTCAGGCAAAGGCAGTGCCTTATTTGAAATTATTTATGGGATTTCGCCATTATGAAACCCCTGAGCTTTCCGTTGAAAACAAAGCCATCGATGAGGATTTTAAATTATTTCAGTAAAATGTGTTTATATTATATTATATCAGCCTACTGTCAGCGCTAATATCGTCCACGACATGATTTCCCCCTTTTTCAAGAAAGCCAGCGCCCTGCGATACAACTCAGGCCTCGAGGTCAGGGCAAACGATTACCAATTTCCAGTACTACGAATTAATTTCACTACCCCCGATCTGAGGATAGTTACTAGTTATGCATTCTACCAATCTGATAATCTGAAAACGATTAATAATAAATAATTTCATAACCAGATCTCTCGACTCTGAAATTGAAGATTTGAGTTGGATCGTAGCAAATTATGTAATATTGAGAAAAAGAGAGAGAGATGCAATCTCACCTCAAATGGAGTAACAATGACGAGAGCCTCCAAAACCCCAGCACCGAATCCAGAAATGAGACGCGCATGGTTGCTGAGTTTCCCGGTCTCGGAATCCTTAAACGCGGTCTGAAGCACCGCATTGGACCCCATGCGAAGGGCATATTTCAAGGTTAGATGCGTAGCGAACGGAGTCAATCCCTTCCAAAGAGCCCGAACTCCTTCCGTGCGCGTAACCGTGGCTCCGCAGTGGACAATCCCCTTGTAAGCCCCGGTCCGGTCGAGCTGCAGCCTAGTCTTGATAACATCAATCGGCTGTAAACAACAGGCCTCCATCACGCCTCCAAGAGAACCGGAAACCGCGTTCATGTAAGGAGGAATCGATTTCTTCGATCTCTGCTCCGAATTCGGCCGACGAGCTTCTTGATTCTCCATTTTTCCGACCTCTGGATCCATGATCGCCGCTCGTTGCTCGTCCACCTCCCTCCCGTCCTGGATTCAGTGAAGTTCGACCGCCATTTGGGGATTTTATAACTCGATGCTTCGCTTGCGGCAATCCGGTAAATAAAACACCAGCAAATGAGAATTTGTGAGGTGTCGTTAATGGCGGCCTTGGGAGAAAGTTGAAATTCTTCTACAGAGTAGTGGTACGGGTGAGCGCCCGACCTCTTGTCTGATGCTTTTTGAATGACTGTAAAGAGGAAACCCTCCGAAGACGGAGAGTGGTTACTTCTTAGTTCTTTTATTACAGGTTGTCCACGTGAATGATCTTCACTCTTAAAGGCACGAAGAATTTGGTTTCATTCGTATTCCCAATAATGAAATGGGTGAAGGGAAAAATATATATAATATATACTGTAGCGCGAATATAGTAATATAGCTATGAAATGTACACGCTATAAGTTTTATCTTTTTTTTCCCTTAATACAATGAGAAAATTTATTTTGTGGGTGTACTTTGAATCATAACCCAGGTTTAAGTATTATAGAATCTATCTCCAGTAAAAAAGTAGCGAATTTGAATTACCACTCTGTAAATCTTACTCACAAATATAAATTTATGACTATATTTAAATAAATTTTAATAATAAAATACTTAAACGACCTTAAAAAATTAGATATTCAAGTACCATTGGGACTTTTATGTCATATTTTTTTATAAAATAAAATACTTTTAACAATCTTCTACAAAATGATACTCTAGCTTTTTTATTCAACATTTTTTTTCTTGTCTTTTTAAGAGAAATGATATCTATTAAGTAACAAAATTCAAGTGGGGTATTGGAAAGACCATTCAACCTTTCCTTATTCATCCATACAAGTCGTATTTATTTTGTGATATTATAAAGTCTAGATTTTGGTAGGCCATAATGGACAACAATTTTCTTTTCTTTTTTTGAAAATTAAACTTATAAATTTATTGTTTTGTTGTATATTTATTTTATGGGTGATGTGGATATTTACTATTAAACAAATATCAACTTTATAGTTTTTCTTTTTCTTAATGATTATATATCATTTTTGTTATTAGTATCTTGTTAATACAACATGGGTAGAATTTAAACTCACTACCTTTTAGTCGCAAATATCCGTTGAGCTATATTCATGTTGAAATTTAGTAGTTTATTTTAATTTTAATAATAATTAATAAGTATCCAACTTGGTTAAAAAGTGATTTGCCACATGAAAAGTAATTAAATATCTTTAAATCACTAGGTGACACTTGAAAGCAAGGCATGCACCATATTTTTCCCTTTAAACAATACATGACTAAATAACATATTTATCATTTAAATTATATGTCCTACAAATAAATATAAATAAACAAATAAATTATATATATATATATATATATAGTCCACTAACGAATGAAAAAAAAAACGAACACCATCAACAAAAAAAAAATAAAAAGTGAATAAATAAAAGCATATGGACAATATTAAAAGACAAGACAACACAAACAAAGAGGTTTTTTTTCAGTTTATAAAGAAAAAAAAAGGGCAAAATTAAGTATTCTTAAATATAAAAACTAATTTGTTTAAAAGACATATATAAAAATTAAATATACATACGATTGCGATGATAAACATTAAGAAAAACAAAATATATAATTAGCCATTATATTATTTTAGTATCATCAAGATTTGTCAATATATATTTGCGGGTAAATAAATATAAATACATTCCTTTGCAAATAATAATAATAATAATAAATAAATATATCCCGATAAACAAATGTAAATATATCGACTATTTAAATCAGTCGAGTTGATAATTAAACAAATGAAGATAAGTACAAATCATAATAATTTCATTTAATATTGTTTTAAATTAATTATATATGGTTTGTTTAAAAAAAAAGTTATATATGGTTTTAGGGTTCATTACTTTATTCAACCTACTTATCCAAATTTGCTTACTGTAAAATAATAACTTTTCCCATATTGTTCCATTTTGGAGGCTCATGAGATCAACTGCAAATGTAATGAAATTAGCCAAAATTGACCGGTTCAATCTATATTATTTAATGATTTGTAAATATATTTGGTTCAAATAATTAAAAATATCAAGTTTGGGGGAAAAAATAAAAGTTCCGTTGCCGGGAATCGAACCCGGGTCTCCTGGGTGAAAGCCAAATATCCTAACCGCTGGACGACAACGGAAATTTTGATATTTAACAAATAATTACAAGTAAAAGCAAAACATTTAGTGCGGCTTATTTCATATATTTGTTAAGGACATATCCGCAATTCCTCGTTAAATTACAATTATTTTGAAGAATATTTTTACTATTTCATATCCTAACATAAAATTTAATATAACTTAGCTCTACCGGTTAAACATCAATCTTAAACTAAAAGATCGTAAGTTCAAATCTTCATCCTCTCGCATCGTTAAAAATAAAAAGAACAAATCTTAAAAGTTCATATTATAAATCAACTATTCATTATATTGCATACGTTATTGTTATGATCATGAACTTGAGAAAAAACAGAGATAGACATGTATAGACTATTGTCTATAAAAGAAAAAAATCTATAGATTAGATAATTTTTAATAACTTGTGTAATTGAGGTTTATTAGATGTTTCAACTAATTAAACATGACCTACTTAAAAAAGAATAGTTAAACATGATGAGATTATTTATTAAAATATTTGAAAGGGTTAAAAAATAACTTTTGGTCCATGTACTATTGTTGAAGTAGTTTTTGTAACAATTTAGTTTATGTAGTTTTGAATTATTAAAAATTTAGTCCATAAACTTTAAAACGTAACAATTCGGCCTCAATAGTCTAAAATGAACAAAAATTTAAAGTATAGATACTAAAATAAAAATTTAGAACAACCAAAATGAACCTCGGTAAAAAAGTTATAACAATTTAGTCCACACCACAAAAATTACTATTAAATTTAAGTGTTGATTTTTATTATATGATGTATTTGTAATTTACAAACACATTTTATGGATCTATAAGTACAAAGCACTCATTAAATCTTAATATTTTTCAAAATAGATACTTATAAATTTTAACTATAAATATCCAATATTAAAGTTTAGATTTTAAATTATTATTAATTTTAAAGTATAAAGATTAAATCGTTACCGACTAAAGTTTATGAATAAAATTGTTACTCCAAACGAAAATACTCGAAACAAAATGTTTTTAAGCCTATTTTAAAATAACAAAAATTGATGTGTTTTAGACCGACGAAGAAGCCCAGGCCTTTTGAATTCAAACCCAATAAGCCAGCATCTCGGCTCAGCCCAGCCACCAATTTGAGCCGGCCCATTTCAGAGAATACTGGGATGGGATTGGAGCAGTAATTGCGAACACGCGACTCTCGATTCTCATTGGTCAGCTTCCGTGGTATCATTTCGAGCCGCCACGTCAACATATGTACGGCTTCGCCAAAAAACCGAAGAGTCTGGATTTCTCGAATTCTCTCGACCGCGGGAACCTATTTATTTTGCACTCGTTTATCCCTCTCTCCCTCCCTTTCTTCCCGATTATCAATTCCAATTCACAAACTCATCAGTTTCAGAATTCAGAGCTCGGTCGGATTTGGACATGGAGACTCGCCTGGCGCCGATCATCTTTATCATGGCATCTCTATTCCTCTTCCTCTTGTCTTTAGAAGCCAAAACCATGGACCCCTATAAGGTAAAGAAGATTGCTCCAAATTGTTCTCTCCCTGATGCATTCGGCATTCGGCATTCGGCATTCGGCATTTGCTCGACCTTTTTTCTTGGTTTTGATATTCTGCCTGGTTTTTCTCAAATTATTTGCGATTTCAAGAATTTCACATGCGTTTTGTTATGAAGCATCGTGGTTTTATGGTAGTGTTACAGAAGGGCTCACTTTTGTTGCATTCTTTAAAATCGTTTTTAGGTTCTTGGAGTTGAGCGGAATGCGAGTCAGCGGGAAATTCAGAAAGCTTTCCACAAGTATGCTCTTTAACTTCCATCCAAAATTTACGTTCCTCTTCAATTATATTTGTTATGCTTTCTTATTTACCGAATGTCATCGTTGTCTTAAATACATTGTGGGACTCATACTGGGCTGGATTTATTTGATTTTGCTCCTCTATATTTGTTCTGTAATTTCCTTTTTAAATGTTTATTTTCTGGGTCAGTGATTTTCACTTGTTAGCGTCTTTATGCATCTTTGGCAGGCTTTCTCTTCAGTATCACCCAGATAAGAATAAGCAAAAAGGTGCTCAGCAGAAGTTTGAAGAAATCAACAACGGTATATTGCTTAATTTGATTAATTACATAAATTTTTTTTGCCAGGACTTGTCTACTGCATTTCATCCTTTTTCCTTCTTTATCTTTCAGAATTTCCGGATGATTGAGTATTTAGGGTATACTTAATTTGATTTTCGAAGTTAAAACTTCAAAGGGGAAATAACTTTGTTACCTCTAAACCACAATAGCTCTAAATATTCACGTTTCTCTTATTAACACCAAATATGTCTCGTTTTCCACCACCATTGACCTTACTCTTTCATTCCTCAGCATATGAAATTTTATCTGATGAAGAGAAGAGAAAAAACTTTGACATGTATGGCGATGAAAAAGGTAGCCCTGGATTCGGCTATGGCCATCCAGGGGATCAAGGTGGTGGATATACATTCTTTACAAACGGAGGACAAAGACAGGGCCAGTGGCAGAGTACTGGTGGAGGACAGGGAGCTTCACAGTCTTTCTCATTTTCCTTTGGCGGGCCCAGTGGTTCAAATTCTTTCGGCTTTGGCATGGAAGATATATTCTCCAACTTCTTTGGAGGTGGGGGTAATTTTGGTGGTTTTGGTGGCAATTCCAAGGCTCAGACTGGATCTAGGACTAGGAGTGCCCCAAGCACCAGGGCCATTAATAAACAAGTGTTTAGAAAAGAAATTGTGGATCAGGGCATGGCTTGGCTTTTGTTTCCAAGTACATCATCTCTAAAGGGGGTTGATCATGTTGAATCAATTATAGAGGAAGTTGCCAGTTCGTTGCAGGGAGCTTTAAAGGTACTAGATTAAGTAATATTATTTCCATTTCTAAAATTATGAAGTTCCGATGATTTTTCACTGTTCTCATCCTCTTTTCTTACATCTTTTATTTGAAGGTTGGAAGGATAGACTGTGAAGCAGAATCATCTCTCTGCAAGGACCTTGGAATTTATCCTCACAGGACTCCCAGAATCTTTGTATATTCTTACATAAAAAGCACCCAGGGTTCTTTGGTAGAGTACAGTGGGGATGTGGCGGTGAAGAATTTGAAAAGCTTTTGCCAAGAGCATTTGCCAAGGTTCTCACAACGGGTCGATTTGAGGCAATTTGATTTCTCTCCCAGCAATGGAGGAGGGCTACCCACCTTAATGCTTTTGTCAACCAAAAAAGATACACCTGTTATCTGGCGCGTCCTCAGCGGGTTGTATCGCAGGAAGTTCAGTTTCTATGATGCAGAGGTATCTGTTGATTAGAATTGCAGTGTCGATATCATAATTTTTGTGGGGTGTTTCTACAGTATTGGTTCATCATTTTCACATCCTGATCACAGAAATATTTTTATGGCATAGGTCAATGATGTTTCAGATCCTACTATGAAGAAGTTAGGAGTTGATGCCCTTCCAGCTATAGTCGGTTGGCTATCTAATGGGGAGAGGCACATTCTTAGAGCAGGGATCAATGTGAAGGATTTGAGATCTGCCATTGATGATCTCAGTAACTTATTCAATGGTTTTGAGAAAAAAAACAAGAAGACAGCATCAAGGCCAACTTCCAAAACACCGTCGGATTCAGCGGAGAATCAGATCCCACTATTGACAGGATCCGACTTTGATGCCATCTGTGGGGAGAAGACTCCTGTTTGTGTTATTGGTRCTTTTAAATCTTCCAAAGCAAGGAACAAATTGGAATCAATCCTATCCATGGTGAGAAGTCTTACTTTTACTGAAATAGAACACGTTTTACCGTCATTTTATTCGTATTTTGGAAGAAGAATTGGTAACCAAAACTCTCTCACACGCCAAGTCTGGACAAACTGTTTCTGAACATGGGTTGATTTATAAGTAGTTGTTTTCCTATTTTACCTGTTTCACTTGTCGAAAGTTTCGAAAATTCCCACAATTTTCAAGGGAATTACATTCATTTTATTTCCTCTTCATTTGATCTTTCAGGTTTCTCAGAAGACATTGTCAAGGCGGCAGAACTCTTCGCCTGGCTCCAAGGAATCCATATCCTATGCTCTTGTAGATGCAACCAAGCAGCCATCATTTCTAAAAGCATTTGACAATGGAGAATTTAAAAAATCTGATAAAGTACTGGTCGCATACAAACGTCGGAAGGGGAAATTTGCAGCACATTTGGGTGAAATGACAGAAGAAGAAGTAGAAAAATTTATCGGCTCAGTATTCAATGGGGACATTCCATTTACCAAGACCCGCCAGAAGCCTGTCTTCAAGTGAAGGTTTGCCATTAACAAACCCTCAGATTATTTTTGAGGTCTTATGTACATTCTATAAATAGTTAGAATGAAGTAAAAAGAGGAGTAAGTATATAGCCAACGGGAAAAAATGACTTTTCCCCCCAATTGAGGTGTTTATACTAAGAAAACGTTTGCCACCTGCATTTAGTGGGGTCAGAAAATGTTTTGCTATATTCAAATCTTCCCCCCAAAGTGAATCATATGGGAGGAACAGAAACTCTTAATCTAATGAAATTTAACTTGTGTTTGTGCTCTGCTATTTTTCCTTAGAAATTTTGCCTTGAGAAAGGTACAATCTGGACTGGGCCGACTGGCTTTTGGGCTTTAATGTTCTGGAGTTGGGCTATTAGGCTTGAATGGCCCAAGGCATAAGAATGCTGCTAAAAATTTCAAAGCACATATACTCTTAAACTTCTCCATCCTCAAGCTTTTTTTTTTTTTTTTTTCCTTTTCTTGGTTTTTCTCTTTTTATTTTCTATTTTTTGGCAAGAGAATGAACTCAAAAAACATGGAAGGATATGGAATCAAAGCCAAGGGCCTGATTATTAATGTCATAAATTTAGGAACTTTCATCCTCCAATGCTGTGGGGAGTTTTATCGCCATGAAAGAGTGATTCAACAAGAAGGCGGAGATACTTTAGGAATGTCGTGAAACAAATGCCCTCTTAATTCGGTAATAAAGGTAGTTTAAAATTTAAACCTTCATTTCCAGTTGTGTCACATAAAGTAATAAAGATATATAATTTAGTTTTTTCTTTAAGTTAGGAAGTTAAAAAAACGATGAGATGAGGGAGAGAAATGTAATTTCAAAACACCTTAGTTCCAAACATCTTGGATGTCGCACTCGTCTCCATCCCAGTCAAACAAAAGTGGCTAGAAGTCAACAATGGCCGTCGTATGTATCAAACTTGGTTCTTCGTCCTTTTTTTTTCCTCCCATATGTGACCTTTTTTTTCTTTTTTAATACAAATGAGGGAATCCTCATCTTTTTTAATCATTGAACTATACTATAATTAATAAATAAATTTAAATATAAAAAAAGACATAATTTAGAGTAGTTTTAAATACTTTTTTTTTTATAAATCTTAAATACTATTTTGACTCATGTATTTTTATATTTAGTTCATTTTCTGTCAATTTATTTTTAAAATATTCATTTTCGTCTATATATTTTTAATTAATGTTCATTTTCGTTATTATATTCTCAAAACGTTTATTTTCATTTCTCTACTTTTTTTTTAACTAAATTGAATCCTTTATGCAAAATTTTAATACAAATTTATAACTATTTAATACAAATTTATAGTTAGATTTATGACGTAAAGAAATGAAATTAAAAAAAAATGAAAAGATGAAAATGAATATAGCGAAATAAAAATTTTTAAACTAACTAAAATGAATCCAAGGTTAAAATAATATTTTAATATGATCGATAATCAACGGAATATTCAGTCGGTAATTGAAAATGAACCAAAAGGTCCAAAAGGCAACAAACATCCAGGAAAGCTCTAGATTCAAGAAAAGCTGGTTCACGCTCACGGACCTCGGACAAAATTAAGCTATTTTTATTACTTTTAATAAAATTTAAAAATAAAAAGCGACAGCACAGTGAGGTGACACAGTGGCGGCAGATGCTGACACGTGGCGAGCATGGTACGTGCAAGGCAGGCGTAAAGCGAGACAAAGCTTACGTGGTCAGTCAAATACCAGGTTACCGAAAACCGGCTGAAACCCAGAAAATAAAAGGGGCTTCCAGTTCCCACTTCCCACTTACCACGCCCAATCCCCACCCCAATTTGGCTTCTCCAATTTCCCGTGGTTTTCTTTTCATTTATTGACGCTTTTGACTTCTGTTTCTTGCCGCCCACGAATACGTTGCACATTTTTTAAATTAAAAGTAACGTCATTTTTTTGTTTCCTATTTAGCTTTTATTTAAAAGAAAAAAGCAATTTATTTTGTTACACAGCTCACAGGCTCAAAAAGCGAACGTAGGAGATTGAAGGTTCTAGAACTACAGACTGGAACTGTGCCTCGGGGCTGTAACGCTGTTCACGTTAGATACCGCAAATTGAAAGTAGTGAACTGCAAAATTGCATTAGGTTTAATTTTCCTTTTTTTTTTTTAATTTATAAATTGCAAACTAATACATTCACGTAAAACTAATCACAAATTACTTTTGTGACGTTTTGAAAAAAAAATAATGATATTTTTCTAAATATATATTTAGAAAAATGTTGTGTTGATCGTGGGTGTTGTGTGGGTGCGGGATTGTATAAAGGTTACTTTTACAAAGTGTTTAGGTGGGCCCCGTCTAATGAAATAAAATATGCTTAAATTATTGGTCCCGTCTCCCATGCGATCCATGGAAATTGTTAGGTTATACGGTCAATTTGTATCGCCATCAAATGTTCAATTGGCCAATATTTTATTAGAAGCTTCCATTAAGGGTTTTTTCTTTTAAAATTCGAACTTCCGATCTATGATGAGATAAAGTAACATCATAATCGATTAAGTTATTGAGTTGAAGATGTAATAAAATAAATATTTTGATAGTTCAATTATATTATAATAATATTGACAGAATATAATTAACAAGAACATGTTAATAATAATAATAGTAATTAAGTATGAAGTATTTCTATATTTTTTAAATATTTTATTTCTATGAGTTTTCTAAGAATTTTACTATATTGTTGAGACTAACCTAACCAATGGAGCCAGATCAATATTACTCTTTCATGGTATATTAAACTACTAATTACTAATGAAATAATGTACAGATTTATTTTTTTGAAAAATTCACATATATTTATTACAATATTAATATATATATTAAAAAGACACGTCATCATTGAATCAACAGTCAGTCCTGCGTGCGAACCCCACAAGGTGAGTTTGGAAGCAAGTTCGAAAAAAGTCGAACGACGAACTACCGAATAAATAGATTACGTATTAAGAGTTTTCAAACTTGATTCTAGCGTTTAAATATGTAACCATACAATTACATTTCAACCTCAAAGCGTATTTCACACCTACAATTTTAGGGATAACCATGGGTTTGAATCCATGATGCCAACAATTATCTACTCTCCATATAAATATCTTGAAATTGAACAGGGGATGCAAAACTTTGATTATTTGAGATTTTACGTATTGAATCTTGAACTGATAAAATCTTTGGAGTGTTAACTATTTTTTGCAGGATCATTTCTTATCTTGGAGTGTTCTTAGAGATGTTAATGCTCTAATCGAATTTCTCGATTAAAACACACATATATATTAAAATAAAAGTATATGTTTTATAAGGTTAATCTTAAAATAATTTTAGTAAATACAATATCTAAAAATTGCGTACACATTATTTTTTCCATGATATTTCATTCCAATTTTACATCTCCCTCATTGTGCAGAAAAATTGGTCTTGATTGACGCCGTGAACTTCGCAGGTTGGTGTGCCCCTCGTGCATTTGCTCGGTTTCGTTGCAAGATAAACGCCGTCGGCAGGACCGTAAGAAACAGCCAAACGGGCACAAAAAATGTGCAGTTGATTATCGTAATAAAAAACAAATTCTCTCTCTCTCTCTTTTTTTTTTTGAAAAAAAAAGAGAAAGAAAAAATTAAATCATCCGATTTTAGCTCGTGTAATTTTAAAGTATTTATTTTAATTTTGTTATTTTTAATTTTGATTCATTTAATATATGTATTTTCAAAATATTCGTTTAGAATTTAAGCATAGGATTATGTTGAAATTTAATAGAAAAATGATATTAGAACAAAATTAAGGGGAAAAAATGGTCCCTTTACAGCAAAATGAACTTTTTAAAATTGCGACTTTCATTCACTCTGATTTTTCTATATTAAACATGTAAATTGTGCATGTATGTACTATGTACTTTTTTCAGGAAATTTGCATCAATGTCTAAAATATATTATTTAAATATATATATATGTATATATATCTTTTAGTACAACCTAGGTTGAGAGGATTCGAACTCAAAATTTCTTAGTCAGAGATATATATTAATTACCGTTGAATTATGTTCATTTTGACTTTTAATTAAATAGTTATGCTTTGCCCAAATAATAAAATGATGATTATAATTCTCAAAATGGTAATACCAATTAGCAATTATCTCTATTGGTCTACTGTCAATATATATATATATATATATATTCCATTGTTTTGTTTTACCACGGTTATTTATATTGGTAGTTTTGTTTTGTTTTACCACAATTATTTCTATTGGTAGTTTTTTTAGTAAAAAAATAAAAAAAATTGCAATATCATACTGTACTACAAGATTAATGTTTCTCTCTTCAACGGATATATTAAATGTGAAAAGCTATTACATTGTTTCTATGAATAAACATTGCCAATTTAAACATAACTTAATTGATTAAATTAAATATTTATGACCAAAAGATAAGATTCTAACTCTCACTTGTTTCTTAAAAAATAAACATCTTTTCTCTTTCTTCCTTAATGTTTTCCTTTCTCTGGTTTATCAAAGATTCAGGATAGGTAATCAAAATTTAGCTAGTCAAGATACTTATCTAAGATAAAAAAGTCGTGAATTCGAACATCTACTCTTACGTATCGTTGTATTAAAAAAAATGATGAGTAGCCAAAATATATTTAATTATTATAAAATATGGAGATAAATTGATTATGATAACATATTATACATTTAATTCTTTTGCGTCTTGAACTTTAATTATACTTTTACGTGTTTTTGTTTTTAGTCTTCTCAATCCTTAAAATTTTATATAATCGTCATCATTAAACTTTCATGTCATATTTAACATTGATATTAAGCGAGTTGTCTCCTAAATGTGATTCTAAATGAATGTAACTTGACCAAATGAAACATACGAGTCACATGACATCATATAAAATTCATAATAAATACAAAATTTACAATAAATGTTAAAATGAATATTTATGCAAAACTTAAAGATCCAAACATTATAATATTTAAAAGCGCACATATATAATATTAGAATTGGGTGAATGTTGGGAGACTTGAGAGTTAAACATTAATTTATACTAAAAAAACAAAAATTACAAAAGGTTCCAAAAGAATAAGAATAGATTCCTGACCACTTTGTAAGACAAACACAAATGGTAATAAACAAACCTATAATATATTAAAAAGCTACCAGTTTTTAATGCTAAAATTTATTCAATAACTAAATGTCACGTTATTATTTTAAAATTATATTTAGAATCAAACAGAAATTTATACCTATGTCA